CTCAAAAGCCTGCTCTCCTGTTTATGATCCCCAGCAACTGGTAATTGGAGGCAATTCTGAACTACAGAGCCAGTGTGGTGTAGTGGTTAAGAGTGGTGGACTCGTAATCTGGTGAACTGGGTTCGCGTCTCCGCTCCTCCACATGCAGCTGCTGGGTGACCTTGGGCTAGTCACACTTCTCTGAAGTCTCTCAGCCCCACTCACCTCACAGAGTGTTTGTTGTGGGGGAGGAAGGGAAAGGAGAATGTTAGTCACTTTGAGACTCCTTCGGGTAGTGATAAAGTGGGATATCAAATCCAAACTCCTCTTCTTCTCTTCTACAGTGGTACCTCAGTTTAAGAACAGTCCTGCTTAAGAACAATTCAGTTTACAAACTCCAGAAAACCAGAAATAGTGTCTTAGTTTGAGAACTTTACCTCAGTCTAAGAATGGAATCCAAACAGTGGAAGGGCACCCGCGGTGGGAGGCCACATTAGGGAAAGCGCACCTCAGCTTAAGAACGGTTTTGGTTTAAGAACGGACTTCCGGAACGGATTAAGTTCGTAAACCGAGGTACCACTGTAGCGGGACTGATTTAGCCTGAGGCAGTTTCCTTTGCCCATCTAGTCCAGCATCCTGTTCTCACAGTGGTCTGGGGAAACCCAGCCAGATGGGTGGGGTATAAATAATAAATTACTATTATATTATTATGGTCAACCAGATGCCCCAATGGGAAGCCCGTGAGCAAGACCTGAGTGCATACTGCTTCCAACAGTGGAGGTGGAACATAGCCTTCATGGCTAGCAGCCATTGATAGACTTATTCTCCATGAATTGTTAAATGTTGCAGAAGTTTAACTATGGAAGAATGCAGTTTCCTATGCGTTAAATCAGCCCTTGCCATGCTGCTTCATAAGAAAAGCCCTGCTGGATAGACTGAAGGCTCATGTATTCCAGCATCCTCTTCTCCCAGTGGCCAACTAGATGTCTCTGGGAAGCTCACATGAAGGATTTGAGGACAACAGCACTCTCCCAACATGTGGTTCCCAGCAACTGGTATACAGGGGCATTCTGCCTCCAGTAGTAGAGTATAGCCTTTGTGGATAGTGGCTATTCATAGCCTCCTTCATGAGGGGTGGGTCGGTTGGAACCCACCCCTTCCTTTTTTCTTTTTTTTTTAACGAAGGGAATGATGAGGCAGTGGGAAGTTTGGGACTGCACAGATGCACTGCCAGAGCCAATATGGTGTTCTCATACACGAGTCCTTCTCTGCTGCCGCCAGGAGGCTTTTGCTGTGGCTATTGTCCACCAGGTGGGCCAGCTATTCCTGGGCTTACCAAACACAACTTTGCTTACCTTCCTGAACCCATCCCTTTCTAAGCGTTCGGTACAGGTAAGAAAAGTCCAGAAAGAAACACACAAAACAGGCAAACAGAACGACAACTGAAACATGCCCCAATGATCATTATCCCATCATGAGAACTTTGATCCAGTTTCCATAATCCAGTACTTGATTCACATATCCCGAAACTGTGCATGAACCAAAGCACAGCCATCATTTGAAATTTGCACTTCTCTGCATTTTGCAATGTGGTTCTCCAGCCAAAATGAATGGGAGATTAAATATACTGCTTTAGCTGTGTACCCTAGTTCTGTGTGCACTGTGAATGCAGAATTGAATCCCACCCCTTGCCCATCAGCTGACATCACCCTGTTCCATCAGCTGCTTCACAGGTAGGTGCGGTTTGGCTCCTGGAACAAACTGCACCCTCTAGTGGACCAAGATTCCCTGTCCTTCAGCTAGATCAGGCACCCCCAAACTCAGCCCTCCAGTTGTTTTGGGACTACAACTCCCACCATCCCTAGCTAACAGGACCAGTGGTCAGGGGTGATGGGAACTGTAGTCCCAAAACATCTGGAGGGCTGAGTTTGGGGATGCCTGAACTAGATGGACCAGCAGTCTGACATGGTATAAGGCAGCTTTCTGTGTTCCTGTCCATCATGCCACACTTAGTTCTCAAAGCACATCCAGCAAACCTCTCTAAGACATGAAATGGATTGTGGCCTGGGCATCACATGTCTGTGTCTGGGTCTTTTCTCTTTATGGCCCAATCCCTTCCAAGAATCTCTCATTTAAAAGGTGAGTGCATTCCAATAACACTGCCACACACACAGGCACACAAAGGAGGTTGCCAGGCAACGCGGCTCATGAAACAACCCCACCAGGATATGAAAGTACTGAGCAAGGCAGTTCATGGGCAAAGCAATTTAACGTTCGTAATGTTCCCTTTTGCCGTGTGCAACAATAACAATGCCTGCATGTATAATATATAGTTGCAAAATCCAAAAGAATCATTGCAGACTGTCAGGACCCTCGTTGCCTTTATCCAGAAACTGTTTCTGTGCACAGGGCGTTTGGAAGCAGTTAGGAAGGAGGGACAAAGGAAGGAAGGAAGAAAGAAAAGGTGGTTGAAAAGGAGGGTGCAAAGTAGAGCCAATGAGGGTTGTGGCTGGGAGGGTTGTGGCCTTGAGAGAATTCAAAGAGCCACATACGGAGGCAAGGAGGGATGCATATGCGTATGGACCTGAGGTTCTCTACTCCTGGTGTAGAATATCAGGAGATGGGATGAAACGGTGAAATCTGTTATGATTAAATGGGCACAAGATGTTGGACATAACATAATGATGGCTGACTGGGAACAGTTATGGACCACAGGTATGAAGTTTACGGCATGCAGTGCCTTAAGAGAGAATATTATGAAAATGATATACAGGTGGTACACGGCCCCAGTCAAGCTTGCAAAAATCTATCATTTGCCTGATAATAAATGTTGGAAATGTAAAGAAACTGAAGGTACATTCTTTCACCTTTGGTGGATGTGCCCAAGGATTAAGGCTTTCTGGGAGATGATCTATAATGAATTGAAAAAGGTATTTAAATATACCTTCTTGAAGAAACCAGAGGCCTTTCTCCTGGGCATAGTCGGCCAATTGGTGACAAAGAAGGCTAGAACTTTTTTTATGTATGCAACAACAGCAGCAAGAATACTCATCTCGAAGTATTGGAAGACACAAGACCTACCCACTCTGGAAGAATGGCAGATGAAGGTGATGGACTATATGGAACTGGCGGAAATGACTGGCAGAATCCGAGACCAGGGAGAAGAGTGGGTGGAAGAAGATTGGAAGAAATTTAAAGACTATCTACAGAAATATTGTAAAATTAATGAATGTTAGAATGATGTTGGATAGAAATTAAGTGGTTTTCAGCTGTAATACTATAAGGGAATATGAAAAATGGATTATTAATAGGTAAAAATTTAACGTTACAATATTTTAAGATTAAAGACTAGGATAAACAAAGAGGGTAAGGATTTGCTGAACCAACAAACCGAACTGGAATACAAACAAGGGAGGTGTGAGGAGGTCCGGGAAACAAGCTAATGAAAAATAAGTAATGGAAAGATTGAGTTGTTTTTAACCATTTTTATTTTGTATTTTCTTCTTTTTTTATTTTTATTTTGTAATATATTGAAAATCTTAATAAATATCTTATATTTATAAAAAATAGAATATCAGGAGATGGAGCACAGCTCAGTGGTAGAGTGCATGCTTTCCCTTCCATTAAGAAGGTCCCAGAGTCAATCTCTCACACACGCAAAAAAAGATTGGGTTGGTGGTGATGGGAGGGCCCGCCTGTCTGAAACCCTGGAAAACCACAGGCCACATGACTTGAAGACTGCAAGTCCCATCATCACCAGCTGGTGTGGCTGGCGTTCGGGGATGATGGAAGTTGTAGTCTGAGAAATATGTAAGTATAAAGATACCTGCCTACGTCTGTAAGAATTGGCTCATAGAATCCCCATTCCCAGGTAACGAAGGGGAACAAATTTGTTCAGTTCACATTTTCCTGTAGACTTACCAATTTTGCATTTGCTAAACTAGCAAGTGAACCAAAACGCAGCTACCTTTCAAAATCGTGAAGCTCTAAATTTTGTTATGCAGATTGCCAACCGAAGAGATTGCACAAAACGGCATATATTTGTGAAAAATAATATGCAAAGCTATATCTTATTAGGAAAGATTGGTTGCAGAAATGCTTACATTGGGCAGCATTGTCATATGAAAATGCATAATTTTGGGGAAATGCACATGGAATGTGCCTTCCTGAAAAGAAAGCATTGCACATTGATGCGGAAATAGGGGGAATGGAACTTACTGCTGGAAAAATGAGAAACCAAGAAAAACAAAAACGACAGATTCATCCATCCCTACTAATCTGCACTGTCTCTCTCAATCAGCTAGGATAGACATTAGGAGATTTGCCAGAACACCCTCCCTTGCGATTTTCGAGGCATTTCCTCCAAACCTCCACTTTTCCAGGCAAATAGCAGCCTGCAGCTTGTTTGCAGTGTTAAAAATTCTGCACCTGTTGATACTTTTTGTCTCTTAAAACTGTGAACATTTCTTTTCTTTTCTGTTTCTACTCCAGTTTGCAGTAAACACATACAAACCATGACACCAACCCTCATTCACCTCTTCCTGGCTGACGTCTGCCAGCAGTTCGGCATTATATTCTGGGCATGTCAGAACGTAATGCAGTGTAACAAGATGTGATATGTTGGATGAGACTTTATGTAGCGGAAAAAGGTTCCTGCGCTTTCCCCCTTTTTATTATTTACATTCCCAGAGAAGGTTATGTGCCACATGAGGTTTCTGCAGAGATAAATAGCTAACCTGAGCTGGCTGGCAGCTTCCCCAGAATCCAATAAGGACTCTTCTCAAAATGGTCACCCAATGCTTTGAAAGAGCTGGCCTTCGAACACAGCCTTGAAGGACCTCGGCCCATTAAGAGACCTTGTACAAGTTCCATGCAATATGCCTTGGGAAGACATTTGATTTGTTTAGGCAGCTATGAATTAGGGTACTGCAGAGGCAATTCTGACTTGGGTTGTCTCATTATTTGAGGTCATGATGAATCAGTAATACCATTTGAATGGCTAGTTCAGGCATCATATGTTTGCTGGGATAGCTCAGTCAGGAGAGCATGAGACTCTTAAACTCTGGGTTGTGGATTTGAGCCCCACATTGGGCAAAAGATTCCTGCATTGCAGAGGGTTGGACTAGATGACTCTGGTAGTCTCTTCCAACTCTACAATTCTTTGATTACAGTACAGAAGAGATGAGTGTGTTTTCACCATTCTGATCCTTTCCCCCATCCCAGGGTGAGCTCACCAGCATGCTCACCAAAGAATTACTTAGGGATAGGAGAGAAATTTGTTTTGTATGCTATGTGCAGTGGACCACTAACCCAATCTGACTCTTCCAGACTTGCTTGCAACTCCTTAATCTGACAACACACCTCTCCGGATTGTGCAATACAGTTTTAGTGTACAAAAATTCACTTGAAAAAAATGCATATTTTATTTAAAATATGTTTGCAACAGCATGTGTGTCTTGCTGATTAACACATTGAGAAGCATGTTTGTTACATTAAAAAGTGCGTATGAAAAGCATATAATAGGATGGAATGGCATGCAAGGGGGTGGAACAGGATGGAACAGACTAATGTGCTAGTGAGAATGAAATGGGGTGGCAGTGATAGGAGAGACATTCATTTCAGTTTGCATTTTAATGCAAACTTACTCTGTTCACACCTTCTGAAACAACACGTGAAATAAAACCCAGCCATCCTTAGAAATTTGCATTTATCTGAATTTTGTGATGCAGATCTCTAACAAATATTTACAAAAATGCATACAATAGTTAAAAGTGTGCATAAAAATACACGTACATAGAAATTATTTATATTGGGGAAAATTGCTTGCATACAAAAAATGGGTTTATTAGGAGAAATTCATGCTAAAATGCTGGGAAATTTTCATGAGGGTTTTTTTTTAACAAAAAGGAATCACAGATTGCTGCAGAATTGTGGGGAACTGAATTTAAGGTAGGAAAAATGAGAAACAAAGAACACTGAAATTGACAGACCCTTCCATCCCTACCTCTGATCAAAAAGAAGAAGGCATCTACAAGCAGGAATAAGGCATCTCAATTAACATGCTTTGCTCCCCTCCCTCCCCACCCCTCTGAGAACAGATAAGGATTGTTAAGGCTTCAGTCATCAATTTTATTTTATTTTTTAAGGCAGCATGTTGTATTTGGCTCAGTGCTATTTACAGCTGTTGTCCATTAGGGGCCCTCAGGAGTCCAATTCCAAGCCACAAATGCAGAATCCCATAAGTTTCATTCAGCAATGAGACCAGAGAGCAGTTCTAAATCATGGTGAGGGGGAGAAGATGAGAGAGGGAGGGGGCAGCCAATGAAATAGCTGGGAAATAAGAAATACGATGCATATGATTCAGGAGCAGGCATTTGTACTGTCTGTTGCTTCAAGCATAACACAGACTATATAGGAGACTGGGGTTAGCCAATATGGTGCCCTCCAGATTTTGTTGAACTACAACTCCCATCAGCCCTGGCCAGAAAGGTCAGTAGTCAGGGAGGAGGAGAGATGTAACACAATGTCCTCCAGCTGTTGAACTGCAGCTCCCATTATCACCAACCAGCATGGCAAATTGGCATCTGGAATAGACAGGTCAGGCCTGTGGAACATCTAGCCAAAGGTAGCTGATCAATCATATGTTGTTAAATGCTGCTGAGCAACCCCATTGAGAAAGGCCTTCCAAACAGGGGGCGAATCCAGCAACTCATAACAAAAGCAATGACAAACCTAGACAGCACCTTAAAAAGCAGAGACATCACCTTGCCAACAAAGGTCCGTATAGTTAAAGCTATGGTTTTCCCAGTAGTGATGTATGGAAGTGAGAGCTGGACCATAAAGAAGGCTGATTGCCGAAGAATTGATGCTTTTGAATTATGGCGCTGGAGGAGACTCTTGAGAGTCCCATGGACTGCAAGAAGATCAAACCTATCCATTCTTCAGGAAATCAGCCCTGAGTGCTCACTGGAAGGACAGATCCTGAAGCTGAGGCTTCAATACTTTGGCCACCTCATGAGAAGAGAACACTCCCTGGAAAAGACCCTGATGTTGGGAAAGGCACAAGGAGAAGGGGACGGCAGAGGATGAGATGGTTGGACAGTGTTCTTGAAGCTACTAACATGAGTTTGACTGAGCTGCGGGAGGCAGTGGAAGACAGGAGTGCCTGGCATGCTCTGTTCCATGGGGTCACAAAGAGGCGGACATGACTAAACGACTAAGCAACAACTAGCAACTCATGCAGAAACACCCAGTGAGTGCAAACTCTCCAGGCTTTGACAGATGAAGAGAGGTGCATGGTTCATATCAAGACCCCTTGGGCATGCTTCCATCTCCTTTATGCTGGATTCATTTGTTCTGCAATCGTCCTGCACCGTTATAAACTATTTTGCCTCTGGCCCTGCCATGTGGTCCTAGGAAGGGAATGTGACCCTTGAGCTGAAAACTGATTCTCCACCCTTGCGTGAGATGATTCCACAATCCATGGATGACAGTGAGATACACAGTAGCACCACGGCGTGACATAAAGGCAGGTTTTGCAACAGCGCTCTTGCTTTCGACTCTTCTTAAAAGAGAGAAGTGTCGTTCCTACTTCGTCCTTCCCTTGGGGCCTCTTCCGAATCCAAACCCCACGAAGCAACTGAATGTAGCATTACATTTTTCTGAAGTGATCTGGTTGAACATGACAAAACAGTCTCAGAACCAGCGTGGTGCCATCAATTGTTGTTTCCCCACGCAAAAATAAAAAAAGGGGGGGGGAACGATCTCTCATTGAGTGTCACACCAAATCATATAATTGTCAGATGGGTTGCCAGCTAGGGATCAAGATTGTCAACGCTCATCATTCTCAGAAAGAAGATATTTCATTCTCCTTCCACTTTTACTGGCAAACTTTGAAAGGGACTCGGAATCAGAAGTGGCTGTTCATTACTCGAACAAGCGAGTGCCTGGAATTGTGTTTGCAGCTGTGAGTAATGGTGTTTAAATTGAGACAGAGGATATGGGCCAGCACACACATTAATTTCTTTGTAAGGGGCCACATGTGCTGAAGTCTCACTGCTCCTGTAGTGGCCTCTGACTCTGATAGCCAGTACAAGGGGCTGTACTTGGAGAGCCCTCTTCTAGGTTGTGCTTTGCCCCCACTCTCATCAAGCTGAAAGCCCCCATTACCTAGTAGCTTTTCCTTGTTAGAGATAATAGAGAAGGCTGGATCTAAGTAAGCAATGGAAGGAATAAGGTAGTGTACCACTTCAAACTTGAATTGGATTAGCAACATTTTTGCATGCTCGCCTAGGTCAAAGAAGCCAGCTGACCTCACCTCAAGCAGAAAACTGGAATCGCAGGGGTTGTTTGGTTTGATTGCTGCTGATTTTACTGTTTTCACTTCTGTTCATCAAGTTTCTTTAAAAAAAAATATTATAAATTTTTAAACCTGCGATTTCTTTCAATTATTTGTATTATAATTTAATCTGCTTTGAAAATTGCTTTTATTGAAAGGTGGATATATAATTTTAAAAAAGTTAAGCTGACTTTAATCTTTTAAAATATTTTAACCTTTGTATGTTTTAAAGTAGGGTTGTAAATTTTCCCTGATTTTCTTGATTTTTTTTCGTATACTATAATGAACTGGTGTTTAAATTTTATGAACTCTCTCTCTCTCTCTCTCTCTCTCTCTCACACACACACACACGGTACATTTCCCCTGGCTGCACTAGTTCAGGGGTGAGGAATCTATGACCCACCAGATGTTATTGGACTACAACTCCCACCAGCCCCAACCAGCATGGTCAGGGATGGTGGGAGTTGGAATCCAACAACATCTGGAGAGCCAAAGATCCCCACAGCAGCACATGCATGTGCAGTTTTCTTTCCTTGCAGGTTATTTTGTGGGTTTGGAAATGCTACTCCCCATGCTATCGTCTCCGACTGGTAGAATCCATTCTACAATCCCAGAACATGACCACATCATTCTACTGCATATGTACTAATACATGCGAGACCCAAATCCACAGCATGGCCTATTTTTCTCCCTTTTTCTGGTGGATGGTACTTCCCCCCCTTTCTCAGCTGCATGCTAGAATAGAGAGAGAATAAAGAATACAGCTGGTATGTTGTCAAATGTGATGTAAAGCCAAAATTGGTTGGAAGGCCTTGATTCTCTGCCATCATCTGTCTGTAGTGGCTGTCAGAAATGATGACCACTACAGGCATATGTGTTTTTGCTACATGTTTGTTTAACCTGACAGAGTAATGGAGAAAGCAGCTCTGGGTGTCAAAGCCACTGGTTCCTCCATTTCCTCCCTCCAACCACTTGAAAATTGCTGAGTGTTTTGGCAGACCAGTTAACAATTTTTCTGCCTGTGTTCTGTGCAAGATGCTGTATGGTTTTTAGTAGTATTTGTATTGCTTCTTTTATCTCTTGTATTTTATTCGATGGCATTTCAATTTGAATTCCATAGACATGCTGTGGACCACATGAATGAAGCCAGTGGACCACTGGTGCTCCAAAACAGAAAGCACTGTTCTTTTTCAACCCAGAAGGAAGGTCTCATGGGAAAGACTCATGGTGCATTTAGTGCCATTTTAGAATATAAAGCTCCCATGAGGTTACTGGGACAGATATACAGTCGTACCTTGGAAGTCGAACAGAATCCATATTCTGGAAGTCCATTTGACTTCCAAAACGTTCGGAAATCAAAGTGTGGCTTCTGATTGGCTGCAGGAAGCTCCCGCAGCCAATCGGAAGCCATGGAAGCCCCATTGGATGTTTGAGTTCCAAAGAACGTTCACAAACCGGAACACTCACTTCTGGGTTTCGATTGTTCGGAAGCTGATTTGTTCAGGAGCCAGGGTGTTTGGGATCCAAAGTACAACTGTATGGTAGTAGTAGTAGTAATAGTTGAGAGGGCGAAGGACAGGAAAAAGCATTTTTTTTTAAAGAATACCCCTCCCATTGTGTTTTCTAGGTGACCGTCCTTATGTGGTGCTCATGGCAAGGGTCCATCCTGGTGAGAGCAATGCCAGCTGGGTAATGAAGGGGACACTTGAGTTCCTGCTCAGCAGTGACCCCATTGCAGATCTCCTGAGGCAATGCT